ATGGTCTACATGCGACGAGGCGAACCAGATCCGCGGCTACTATACACGCAAAAACGCACAAGTTTCTACCAGATCTGCAAATAAATTGTAATAAGTTTGTTATCAAGCCAATATCAGGATGTGTTTGCAAGGCTTGTTCCTAGTTGTTGCGACAAATCTCGAACAAGTAGTAACAAATAATTGTTATCAACTTGTTATAAGGCTCATGACAGTAATAGATTAATTGCTACAAGTTGTTGGAACAAGATTCATACAAGCTGTTAGTTGTTGTCATCAACTTGTCAACAAGTTGTTGTCAGATTTATATGAGGTTATGCAATAACAAAGGTTAACAGCTAGGGAACCAAGCCTCGTTACGTCGGCACATCATGTGACCAAAAGGGGGCCGGGCGAGTATGTAACAAGAGGTGGGCCGCGCATTGGTGTCGGCTGGTGTTGTTCCTGACCACTTAATTAAATCTATCGGCAGATGGCTCAGTTAGGCGTATCAGATATTTATACGGACATCGGTTGACTGATGGTGTGGCAGCTCGATTGATCTGGGATAAAAATAGTTAGAGATCATTGCAGTCTCTTACTGTAGTGACTTAACTTGCACGAGTAATTTAAAGTGCGATTTGGGATGAATTGGGCTAAGCACAAATAATATTAGATATGAAACTAACAAACTCGTGTGACATGTTGTCTCTTGTGTTTGGGCTTATAATAATAATAATAATAATAATAAAACTTTATTTAATGAGGGACTACATTGATTACTTAATATAGTATTCTTCCCAATGGCCCTCGGTACAAGGTACAAGGTACAAGAGTTACCTTACAAGGTACAAGAGTCACCATACAGTCTGGTATCACTCGTAGGTCGCATTTTGCAAGGTGTTCCGTTATATACCATACAGGCTGGTACTGCTTGGGGCCCACAATTGGTTACGTTTTATACCATACAGTCTGGTATCGCTTAGCCTTACAGGTTGGTATCGCTTGGGAGTCGCAAGTCGCGATACGTTTCCCGTAATACATTCTGGTATTCCTTGTAGCCCACAATTTGTTACGATACTGTCTGTTAGCGCCTATGGGTTGCAATTCGCAATATGTTTTGTTATATATCACACAGTCTGGTTTAAATAAAGTTTTACCTACCTTCGTTATATACCATACAGTCTGGTATCGCTTGTGGCCCACAATTTGTTACATGTTATACCATACAGTCTGGTATCGCCGATGGGTCGCAATTCGCAATACGTTTCGTTATTTACCATACAGCGTGGTATCGCTAATTGGGAGTCGCAAGTCGTAATACGTTTCGTGATGTACCATACAGTATGGTATCGCCTGTAGCTCGCAATTTGTTTACGTTTTATACCATACAATCTGGTAACGCCTATGGGTTGCAATTCGCAAGACGTTTCTTTAGATACCATGCAGTATCGAATGGGGCCCACAATTTGCTACGTTTTATCAGGTTGGTCCCACTTGTGGGTCGCAAAGTTGCAATACGTTCCATTGGATACCACACAGTCTGGTATCGCTCGCTGTTCGCAATTCGCAATGTGTTTCAATACGTACCATACAGTCTGGTATCACTTGTAGCCAACACGTGGCTTGGTCCGCTAATATGTAATACGTTCCGGTGTGTACCATACAGTCTGGTACCGCTTACGGCCCACAATTTGCTTGGTCCGCTTGTGAATCGCAAGTTTATAACACGTTCCGTTGTGTACCATACAGTCTGGTACCGCTTACGGCCCACAATTTGCTTGGTCCGCTGGTGGGTCGTAATTTTGTAATACGTTCCGTTGTGTACCATACAGTCTGGTACCGCTTGTGGCCCACAGTTTGCTACATTTTAGACCATACAGGTTGGTCCGCTTGTGGGTCGCAAGTTTGTAATACGTTCCGTTGTGTGCCATACAGTCTGGTACCGCTTGTGGCCCACAATTTGCTTGGTTCGCTTGTGGGTCGCAAGTTTATAGTACGTTCCGTTGAGTACCATACAGTCTGGTACCGCTTGTGGCCCACAATTTGCTTGGTTCGCTTGTGGGTCGCAAGTTTATAATACGTTCCGTTGAGTACCATACAGTCTGGTACCGCTTGTGGCTCACAATTTGCTTGGTCCACAATTTGCTTGGTTCGCAAGTTTATAATACGTTCCGTTGAGTACCATACAGTCTGGTACCGCTTGTGGCCCACAATTTGCTTGGTCCGCTTGTGGGTCGCAAGTTTATAATACGTTCCGTTGAGTACCATACAGTCTGGTACCGCTGGTGGCCCACAATTTGCTTGGTCCGCTTGTGGGTCGCCAGTTTGTAATACGTTTCGTTGAGTACCATACAGTCTGGTACCGCTTGTGGCCTACAATTGCTTGGTCCGCTGGTGGGTCGCAAGTTTGTAGTACGTTCCGTTGTATACCATGCAGTCTGGTACCGCTGGTGGCCCACAATTCGCTACGTTTTATACCATACCGGTTGGTCGCTTGTGGGTCGCAAATTGTAATTCGTTCCGTTGTGTATCATACAGTCTGGTACCGCTTGGGGCCCACACTTTGCTACGGTTTATACCATACGGCATGGTATCGCCGGTGGGTCGCCATTCGCATTACGCTGGTTAAGGCTGTTCCTTGGAGGGGTGATGGTTCATCACCCTTGGTGGTCTGCTCAAGATACCACTGGCATGGATCTTAACCCGAGTCCAAGTAACAGTAGTACCAGTAGTCGTTCCAGGCCACCCCTCGGTCACCCGGGCTAACACCTCACCATCCAAACGGGTAAGTATGGTGAACGAAGGTGTTAAATGAGGTTATGCAATAACAAAGGTTAACAGCTAGGGAACCAAGCCTCGTTACGTCGGCACATCATGTGACCAAAAGGGGGCCGGGCGAGTATGTAACAAGAGGTTGGCCGCGCATTGGTGGTATTAGTAATCATTGTGCGTTGGAAGCGTAGTAAACGTATTAGGAACAAATTTTTTTTTCTCTCCTGTTCTTTTATATTTCCACCAATTGTTAATTGGTGTGAAGGTGTTGGCCCTGTGGGGGTGGTCTGCTCAAGATACCACTGGCATGGATCTTAACCCGAGTCCAAGTAACAGTAGTGCCAGTAGTCGTTCCAGGCCACCCCTCGGTCACCCGGGCTAACACCTCACCATCCAAACGGGTAAGTATGGTGAACGAAGGTGTTAATGGAACAAATTGTTGCCAGACTGATGGCCTCATCATGATACAAAATGATATCAACTTGTTCCAAACTTGTCAACAATTGGGAACAAACATTGCGAACGCATCTTGTTGACAAGCTCGGAGATTTTGCGATTCCTTAATTAGATATCTATTAAAACTTAAAAGCAGGCTACCTTATCTAAGCGGTGACAGTGCACAAGTCCATCTCGTCCAACTTCGAAAATTGAAAAACCATCGACATATCTATATGAAATAGCAAAGTAATAATAAAAAGGCAAAAATTTACTCGCATACATGTGATCTGATATGATAGCGGTAATCACTGGACTGCCATGGAACACAGCAGAATTCTTGCTCAGGGGTGGAAAATGTATCGGACCACGGAACCATTTGGTTCAAAAAAATTCTTGGACATAGTCAGGCAATATACGATCTAAATTTGTCAACTTTGCCAGATTCAAACAATGTTAACACAAAAACTGGCAGGGCAATCGCAACAGCTTGCGCCAATTACTGTGATCCCTAAATGTTAGACAAATATAGGTACATAGAAAAAATCAATTAATTTACTAACGAACTATCAGATTAGCTACTTTTCACATTGCGACCCACTGGCATGGACCCATCTTTAAACCAAGACAAAAAAATTAACTGTAGATTTATTCGTACAAGTAAACAGTTATAAATTTGAAAGAGCTAGCAAACAAAGCTATGTTTCTGGGTGCGATACTACACTCTGCCAACAACTAGTGTGTTCGCACTGCTTGTCCCAAGTTGTCAACAAAAGCTTGGAACACGCAGTTAACAACTTGTAACCACCGTGGTGATAATAGAGAGTTTAAGCTAGATATGCAGGTTAACAAATATTCGGATCGGAATTTATTTATAAGTCGATCGCGTTTAGATATTCTAAGAACGAGAAGAAGCTGGTCAATTCCTATTATCGAACCGTCTATTGCTCGTGTGAATTATCGCCCTAAACGTTGTGCTAGAGTATTGACTAATGTCAGATGCGTGCCATTTAATGCAAATTCAAAGCAGCCTTTATCTTTATGCGTGTTGAATATTCGGTCACTCAGAAATAAATCGGCTATTTTTCAAGACTATGCCCATGAATGCAACGCTGACCTCATCGCTGTTACAGAAACTTGGCTTAAGGAAATTTACGATGCTCTGTAAGAGCAGAAGTTAAGCCAATTGGTTATATAAGCTTGCTGACGTTCGAGGCGGTGGCACTGCCCTTTTTTATCGTGAATCTATTAACGTATCCAAACATAATGCTGAAGTTAAGACTTCCTTTGAGTTCTCTGAGTGGAAAATAATATTACCATCGGATATCAATCTTCGTCTAATTATTGTATATCGGGCCCCATATTCAGAGGATCATAAGGTTACATCGAACACCTTTTTCGAAGAATTCTCCGATTACCTGGATACTATTGTCTTGTGTAATGAACGCTTAGTGATCACAGGAGATTTTAATTTTCATGTCGATGTTCCTACTGATAGAGATGCTATCAAATTTCTAGACATTTTAGAGTCGTATTGTTTAGAGCAACACGTTGTTGGCCCTGTCCATGTCGACGGGCATACATTAGATTTGATTATTACTCGCCAGTCTGATCATGTTATCTGCAACACTCCGAGAATTGATCGTTATCTTTCGGATCATGCAGCAATCCTTTGCAGCCTTCGTTTGAACCACTTCGTTTGAACCTTTGCAGCCGTGTTTGAACAAGCCAACACTATCGGCCAAGAATGTGAGTTATAGGCGAATTAAATCTATAGATATAACTTCGTGCAATCAAGACCTTCTCGATTCCAGACTCTGTCAATCTCCCCCCGATGACATTGACGAGCTAGTAGCGTGTTATAATGCTACTCTAAAGTCTGTTTTAGATAAACATGCTCCCTTGAAGAATAAAGTTATCATTGAACGTACCCGTGTACCATGGTTTAATGAGGAAATTAAAGAGGCGAAGCGGAAACGCAGGAAGGTTGAGAGAAAGTGGAGAGACACGAGGTTAGCCGCTGACCTTGCTGATTTCAAGCAGAAGAGAAATGTAGTGACTCGGCTAATGAATAAAGCTCGTCGAGAATTTCATTCAGAATTTATTGATGCCCATAGTGGAAATCAGAAAAAGCTCTTCACTGGCACTATGAAGTTAATAAATCAATCGAAAACTCGTGACTTACCACCTGTCCCAGACAACGCTGTATGCGCGAGCAGCATTGGCAAGTTCTTCAATCGAAAGATTGCCAATATTCGAAATGGTCGGATCCTGTTACAAGTAAGACTCAAATTAATGCTGCAGCAGTTACTACGATTGGCGTGTCTCCTTTTTCTGATTTCAATGTTCTAACGGAACAAGAGGTTTCAGCGCTGATTATGAGCTCATCACGGAAAACCAGTCCAACTGATCCTATGCCATCTAAACTAGTTAGTGAATGTAGTTGTCTCCTGCCTGTTATTACAAAAATGATTAATACCTCTCTGCAAAGTGGTCATTTTCCTGATGACTGGAAAGAAGTTTTACTTTCTCCATTGCTGAAAAAAGTAGGAGCTGACTTTACTTTTCAAAGTAAAGAGATAAAATTGGCTAAAGGAATAAAGTACAATTCTAAGCAGTTCTACGCATACTTACGTAGTAAGAAAAAGTCCAATCCCACTGTATCTAAGTTGAAAAAGCCTAATGGAGAATTTACAACTAGTGTAAAGGAGTCTGCTGATTTGCTTGTCAAATCGTTTGCAACTGTTTTTACAAACGAGACTTCACTCACTCGCGATTGTAACATGGATATTATCGCTGTTAAACAAATTGATCCACTAGTAATTAGTGACTATGATGTGAAAAATGAGCTGCTGGCTCTAGATGTCTCAAAGTGTGCTGGGCCAGATGGAGTTCATCCAAAAATTGTTAGATTTTTAGCGGGAAATGATAATTTTGTGAGTGCCGTAACAGCTTTATATAGATCTATTTCAGACAATTCCCAGAAGCTTGGAAGAAAGCAATTATAATTGCATTACATAAAATGGGGGCATTTAGTGATGCTGGAAATTATCGACCAATTTCTCTAACTTGCATCCTATGTAAAGTGTATGAAAAGCTTTTGTTTAAACATCTGTACAGTCATGTTAAGGGATTTATTAGTCGGAATCAGCATGGGTTTATGGAAGGGAAGTCTTGTCTCTCTAACTTGTTGGAATCACTACAATATATTATCACGTTTTTGGATAGTAAAGATCCTGTTGATCTTATACAGGGTGTATCAAAATAAACGCAATTCATCTTTTGTGCTTAATAACTTTCGAAATACTATCTCTAGTTAAATGCTTTTAGGCTTACTTCAAAGCCTGTTCTTTTCTCTTTCAAACAAACTATTATCCTTGTCTCCAATGCTAGTAATAATTGCACAGGAAAAGATTTAGTAAAACCTATCATTTTTAGTTGCTGTTTAATTATGCAAGTTTACTATGTTATTGTTTAGTCGGTTTAAATGTTAGAATTTTCTTCTTTTAACTTTAATGTTGTCGTCACTACATCTGGAAAACCACGTAAGAACAAATTAAAAGTATTTTAAAAGAGACCAGGTTGTTTGAAATCCTAAACGAATGCTAAAAATCGTCAAAACATTCTGGTGTCTGAGCCAGAGTGTCATCGAATTGCGATGTAATGTAAACAGAAATTATAGCAAGTTGATGTCAGTCAGCTTAGATGGTCCAAGCCAAAATTATATCGCATTTGAAGTTTCAAACTGAGTTACAAATAGTGGAAGAAAAGCCGTAATTATACTTATTGTTACAAACCATTTAATAAAATGCAACATTTTTTGTTTTAATGAAAAAATCAGTTACTTTCATGAGAACGATTTGTTATTCCATCTCAAATTTTTTAATCTCCAATCGCAATAACGTAAAGTATTATTACCCGCGAACCAATGAGTCAAATTTAAGAAACAACCCACTGTCAGAAAGCTGAATGGCTACGCTTTAAAATGAATGTAAACTTTAACGTTTTCGTCTATTATTTGTTTAGCAATTTACATTTCAGTCGAGGATTGCGCTTTTTTTGATACACCCTGTATATTTGGATTTTCAAAAAGCTTTTGATAAGGTTGCACAAGAAAGATTGTTGTTAAAGTTAGAAAGTTACGGAATTACTGGGCAGGTTCATGACATTATAAGGAACTTCCTGACAGGTAGATCAATGGCAGCACGTGTGGGAGATCATATTTCATCATGGGAGCCTGTTACTTCTGGAGTCCCCCAAGGGTCTGTTTTAGGACCCTTGTTATTTATATTATTTATTAATGATATGCCACAAGTTACTAAATTTAATACTGTGCTTTTCGCTGATGATTCCAAAGTTATTGGTAATGCATATTATCCGGAAGATATTCAAACAGACATTGACTGTCTCAGTAGGTGGTCAGAAATATGGCAGATGAAATTTAATGTGGAAAAGTGTGGTGTACTTCACATCGGAGAGAGAAATCCGCAACATGGCTATACATTGGATGGTATTCAACTAAAAAGTGTACAGAAAGAAAAGGATTTGGGGGTAACCTGGTCTGCCGGGAAGTCCTTATTTGATGATCATATTCGAGAAGGAATCGGAAAGGCCAAGAGGATGATTGCCTGGTTAATAAGAAATGTTGTATCTCGTAAACATGAAGTGTTGGCTCCTCTTTACAAGGCCTTTGTGAGGCCCCATCTGGAGTATTGTGTGCAAGTTTGGTCCCCGGTAGCACAGCATGGTAATTGGGGTATAATTATGG